GCTCTTTATAATCATAGAAAACAGTAAAAATTGACTCCATGCTAACTATAATGTGAATCTCATCAGATGTAGAAGTATGAGTTCACACAGAACACATTCTCTGACTACAAAGCAAATTTTAGAAATAAAAAGATAGCTAATAGAAACCCATACTTTGAAAATTAAAAACATTTCTAAATAACCAATGGCTTGAGGAAAAATGGAGATTATAAATGCTTAGACCTGAATGGAATTGAAAATACTACATATTAAAATAAGTGAAATGCAGCTAACATGATCGTTAGAGGGAAATTTAGTCTTAATTCCAAACTTTAGCTTATATTCCAATAGAAGAATGGCTGAAGATAAATGAATTAAGTAACTAAACTGGTAAATGAACAAAAGAATAAACCCTAATAAAATAAAAGGCATAGGGGCTGGCCAGTTAGCTCAGTTGGTTAAGAGCATGTTGCTGTTAAAACCAAGGTCAAGGGTTCAGATCCCCATACCGACCAGCCATCAAAAATAAAGACATAAAGAACAAAAACTAAAAATAATCAACAATGCCAAAATTTAAAATCTAGTGAAGTTATTGCAAGATAGATTAAAAAATAAAGCAAAGACATAAATGTAATTAGAAATGCAGCATGTACTAAAAATATAAGAATATTATGAAGAACTTTAGCCATTAATTTTGAAAACCTTGGTAAAATTGACAAAGTACTAGATAAAAATATACCAAACTAAGTAAACTTAAAAGTAACAGAAGGGCCGAGCCCGTGGCGCACTCGGGAGGGTGCGGCGCTGGGAGCGCGGAAGCACTCCCGCCGCGGGTTCGGATCCTATATGGGGATGACCGGTGCGCTCACAGCGCTCACTGGCTGAGCTCGGTGCGGCCGGTCTCAAAAAGGACAGAAAAAAAAGGTAACAGAAAACTGGGGCTGGCCGGTTAGCTCCATTGGTTAGAGCATGGTGCTGAAAACACCAAAGTCCAGAGGCAGGTGGGTTGGTCTAATCTTCTCATAAACGTTCCAATAATAGACTTCCTCATAAACAGACTAATGCTGCAGTTCCCAAACTGTACACTAAAGTGCCCCGGGGCACACTGTAGGAGGGCAGGTGGGTTGGTCTAATCTTCTCATAAACGTTCCAATAATAGACTTCCTCAAAAACAGACTAATGCTGCAGTTCCCAAACTGTACACTAAAGTGCCCCGGGGCACACTGTAGGATATTTATATCTTTCTAGGAAACACAGTAATACTTGACATTTGTCAAGCACCCAGGAAACAACTTGCTTTCAGTTCACATCTTCAGTATTACATCGCATTTCATTCCTTTCAATGATGTCCTGTCTTTGTAGAGCTGGGGTTTTTTTGGTGGTGATTGTGTTAAAAATTACTGTCAACATCAATGTGGAACAAGATATAAGCTGGGGGTGGTGGTGTCCAATCTGATTCCAAATTTTTAGAGGTTATGCAGTACCCAAAAGGGCATAAATCCCATTAATAAGTAATAGTATTTAAGAATGAAATAAACATACTATTTTCTTTCAATTTATGAATATTATTTTTCAAACAGCTACTAAATTGTTAGGACATAAATACTTAGCAAGTTGTTTGAAGGTAACTTTTGGCCTCGGAGAAAATGTAAAAAATTTACTAAGACCCTAGGGGCATCATAAACCAAGAAAATCTGGGAACCTCTGGACCAAAAGCTAGAACAGTCCTTATCTAAAGAATGCACTTTTCAGGATGTTTCTGATTTTAGGATTGCAGATGGTAAATAAATCTAGACTCTATGGATTTATGAGGTATGGCTCCCTAGATATGTCACCCATGCTATGCAACTACATGAGTACAAAATGCACACGTTTCATAACCTCAGTGCTTCCTGCTGTGTGTGGTGACTGCTCACTTCTGCCTTGGGTTTCAACCAGACTCAGAGAGCACCTAGTGCAGGAAGGACCTGGGGAGCCATGCCAGATGTCCCCTGCCTTGCTCTGATTTACCTGTCCCTTTTCATTCCTCGTATCTTTAATATTATTAGTAAAGCTTGACGTTGGGTAAAATCTCTGATTCCTGTGAGTGTGATTTGACAGTCCAATCCTCAGCTTCATCAGTCATCAGGAAAATTCTGATGAAACCCAAAATATCATTTTGTACCTACCAGATTAGCAAAACAAATTTTTAAAACCTGGCAATACTAAAGCATTGGTGAGAAAATGGAGCTGTAGAAGGTCTCAATTAGCCATTTGGGAAAACAATTTCTTATCTAGTAAGATTAAATATGTACATACTCTATGACACAAGAATTCCACTTTTGGATATATACTTTGAGGAACTCGTGCACATGTGTACTAGGTGATATGTACAAGAAGGTGCATAGCTTCATGGTTCATAATGGCAACCCAAATGTCCATCGTATGACAACAGATAAACCATAGCACGTTCCTGTTTATATAACGGCATACTGTACAGTAATGAAAAAAAAATCAATAGCTTCATGCTACAACATGGATGAACCTCACAAATACAACGCTGACCAAAGACCACGTGAAATGGTGCAATTCAAAAACACGTAAACAAAACAGTACATTGTTTAGGGATACAAACATACATGGAAAAAAATCATGAAGAAAGCAAGGGAAAGGTGAACACAAAATCCATGGTTAATGGCTATTATCTCTGAGGGAAAGAGAGAAGAGGAAGAAATTGGGGTTGAGCCCACAAGGTGCTTCTTAAGGTTTGGTCAAGTTCTGTTTCTTAAGGTGGGTGGTGGGTATGACAAGTGGTCATTTTAGTGTTAGTCTCTATACGTATTAGATATTTCACAGTTAAAAAACAGAATAGATTATGGATACATAATACAACTTGGTACGATCATCACTGATAATAATTTTTTGGTAAATTTATACACATAGAAAAAAGATTAGAAAGATATGCCAAAATGATAACTATAGTTCTCACTGGGTTGTGAGACTACGGGTGAGCATGTCCTTTGTGGTTTTTTTGCTTTGTTTTATGTTACAGATGTGTGTATTGAGCATATAATTTTTGAAGGGTTTTTTTTTTAATGAATTAATCTAAGTAAATCAAGTATAGCATTAAATCACATTACCCAACACATTTCCCAGCTTTTCAGCAAAAGTTCATGATCATTTTCCCATATCTAACACATGTGCTGTACATTCTTGGTTATATAGGAGTCTCAGCTTTGACATTAAATATCAAACAAGCACAGTGTGAATAACACCAGGGTCACAGGTTCAGATCCCCATACTGGCCAGCTGCCAGAAACAAGCAAACAAAATATATGAAACAAAAATATCTCTTATATCATAACTGATAACCACTGGGTTTCTATTTTATCCCTAGTCTAACCATATCCCTTTATTATTTAAAATTCTATTTTTGGTTTTACTTCATCCTTTACTTCCTCTCCTTTTGTCAGGGGCATTTTAAAGAAAATTTCTAAAGCAGGGCCTGACATATACAGCAAGCATTCAATAAATCAGTTCCCTTCAATAACATGCTTTGTTTTGAACGAGTTAATATAACCTCCAACTCCTAACGCTAACAAGAGTTTCCTTCTTGCCAAAACGTGCCCAGTTTCAATGTAGATTCCACAAGGTGTCAAGGGCCAATGGCAACAGAACAGGAGGAAGACGTTTCCATCATCATCATCTGTTCACCTGCCTTCTGCCTTCTTCCTTCCAGCCCTCCTCCATTCTCGCTTAGACTCCTCACCATCAGCGAAGGGTCATTTTATCAAATAAAGTACAAATGAAGCTGATATGCTAGAAGTAATGTAATAATTTAGATATTCAAATATTACAAAACACTAACCAAATACAACAAATACAAATGTAATTACAATTAAATTTATTAAAAAAACAAAATAATTTTTATATTCTCAACTTCATTTAAAAATTGTAAATATTTAAAATGTAATATTGATTAAATACATATAAATCACTGTTAAACAATATTACTTACATGATATTATTACTTTTGTGGGCTCTTCCAATGTTTTCACACCAGCGATATTTACAAATATCATAAACCAATAGTTCTTCTAGGAAAAAGTAGTTCCAACGCCGAATTCCTAAAATGCAAACAACACTTCTAAAGGTACTATTACTCTATCATGTAACAGTTAATAAAGAGTAAGATTAGCTTTACCTCCTTTAATGCCATTTCTGTTCACCAAAGAAAGAACAAAACGATCAACTTCAGGGTAGGGAGAACACTGAAAACCGTCAGTCATTTCTACTACAATAAAGAGAAAAGTTATAATAGCTAAAAATTGAGAAATTAAAGTTTGATTAAATGTTTAGTACAACTATGAGTTTTGAAACCCCTCCAGCGTTTTTTTCTTTTCTTTTTTTGCAATTTACCTTTCCATCAGTTCATGGGTTTTTGTTACCCTACAAGGAAGCAAATAAAATGAGAACCTCTCCATTAGGTCAAATGTTAACTAATTTCCATAGAAAGCATTTGAAATAATTTCAACTGCTTTCTTCATTTTGCAAAATGAAAAGCAGCCCCTCATACAAATAAAATGAGAACCTCTCCATTAGGTCAAATGTTAACTAATTTCCATAAAAAGCATTTGAAATAATTTCAACTGCTTTCTTCATTTTGCAAAATGAAAAGCAGCCCCTCATGTCCATGAGTTGGCCTCACTCTATCAGCGAGGCCTTGGTGGTGCTAGGAGCTGTCCTGGCACGCATACCTCAGCCTTGGTGTTCTCCTACGAACGTAAACGATTTCACAGAACTTTCAACATCAGATAAGGCAACTATGTGATCACAAAGATTCAAGACAAAACTAAGACCACTCTATAATCATGTCTGAACACAGACAAAACATGAACATTTTCGAAATCAAAAAATGACTGAACACCCCATTATCCTGGCTAATATAAGTAGCTGCGGCTGCAATCGCTGCCTCAGTCTCCCTCTAGTCTGCCTTCCTTCTAGATAAGATTTATGAAGATAACTAATCATAGAATTGTCCCTGAATACACCCATTTCAGAACAAACCCACACTTCCTTGAATACTCCCCCAAATCACCTAATCCAAGCCCAAATCCTGTACGTCCTTTCTAACGCCTTCTCATGGTGCGTATTCTCCATCGCTTCAACAAGTAGTAAACGCTGCCTGCTCACGACAGGTGTGTTCCCCATGGTCATCAGCTGGAGCGCACGGACAATCCAATTGCATTTGGTATCTAAGAATCTACTGTAATAATTTAGAATGACCTATTTAAAATCTCATTTAATTTTTTTTTTTTTTTTTGTCTTTTATCTTTTTCCGTGTCCGGCAACGGATCGCAACCCTCAGTGTTGCCCCCGTACCGGACCGGGGACCGGCAACGGGACCGCAACCCTCGGCGTTGCCCCCGCGCCTCGCTCAGCCAGTGAGCGGGAACCAGTCTGTATGTGGGATCCGAACCCTCGGGCGGGAGCGCCGCCGCACTTCCCAAAAGTAACATATAAATGGAGAATTTTTGCAAAATATATTAATGTAAAAATGAGAGAAATAAACTCCGAATTAATATCTACGAAAACATATTAACCAACCGGAAGAAAATAAACATACAAGAAAATGTTACCCATATTTTTTAATAAGCTTATGATCATCCCAGACATATAACTTTAGAGCCTACTTTTTCTCTTAACATCCTAAATGGGTGTTTTCCACGTTATACAGGCTTTATAAATTTAAATTTAATGGTTACAGAGTATTTCATAGTATATAACCAATACAACTTTGTTGTACATTAAAGGCTAACTATGTAGCTTTTCCCATGCATGGTAAAAACAATGTGGCCTTCCTGTGGTGCCAACAACAGCAGGCAGCAAGCCGCACGATTCTTACACTCCCGCTGTACTACTGCTGCAACCGCAGGTCACACTACTACGCCCAAGTAACATCTACTGAGCAGATGCCGTGTGCTGGGCACCACTGTAAATGTTTTATGTGTAAAGTTTTAACTTCTTAATCTTCCCAACAACTCCCTAAGAAAGGTGTTTTTATTATTTCCATTTTAGAAGTAAGGAAACTAAGACTTTGACCTTATTTCTGAGCTATGTTATTAAAGGAACTCAAAGAGCATAGAGACATATAAAGAAAACCAATCCATCTTCCCACCCTCTGGGGAATGGCCGTTAACTGTCTGTCCTGACACCACTTTCCTACAGTAATATGTTTTTAATATTTATTATTAAAATTAATTTCTATGGATTTTTTCCTTGACATTATATTTAGGGAAGGCAAAGAGAAAAGAATGATAACAAGTTAATGGCGATTTAGTCTAATCCTTAACCACATGTTTTGGGTGAACAATTTTGTCAGCCCAGAAAAAAGGGGAATGAAGACAAATATTTCTGTTAAAAGATGGCTTTCACACTTTTCAGAAATGACCAAAATATGGAAATGTAAAGGTTCAAAAGAACTGACAATAAATTAGAGTATTTCAATATAATGGAAAATTATATAGGCATCACAAGTTTTATTTACAATTAACTATTGGCAAGTTATTATTAACTTGGAAAATATTCATGACATAATGTTAAGTAGAAAGAACAGGTAACATAACCATATAATGACCTCAAAAATATTTTTTGAATAAAGAAGCTATGTAAATTATATGTATATATGTACGTATGTGCATATATGAAAATAAGACATTAACAGTAATTATATTTCCAAGCACAATATATAAGTAGTAGTATTTTCTTCTTTATAGAAGTGATAATCATTTTAGAAAAACTTTAAAATACATAAACTACAATGATAAAAAAATAAAATGACAACTAAGTAGTTAAAAAATGTCCTTTACTGGCCGGCCTGGTGGCGCACTGGAGAGTGCGCCGCTTGGGAGCATGGCGGCACTCCCGCCGAGGGTTCGGATCCCATGTGGAGACCGGTTCCCGCTCACTGGCTGAGCGCGGTGCAGGCGCGACACCGAGGGTTGCGATCCCATTACCGGTCAGTAAAAAAAAGACAAAAAGGAAAAAAAAAATGTCCTTTACTATTATTTTTCAGTTAATGGAGAAAAGAGAACAATTAACCTAGAATTTTAAGAACTGCCTTTCTTTTCCTTAAAGTAGAATAAATTTACACAATTCACATTTTAATAATATACAATACCATTCATGGTTTAATAAATATTTATGAATACACAATGGTTTAATTCTGTACTACACACCTGACATTGCTGACCAAAGAAGAGAGAAAATATTGGTTTTCTTCAGAAATATTTTTTGGCTGTGTAGGAAAAAATCTGTTATCTTCAGCGACTTCCAAAGCCACACTCTTTCCTCTTTTTGATGATTTATACAGCCGAAAATTTCTATTTCTTGTATAAACTCCTACATCAAAAATTAATACATATGAATGCATGTTTTCTGTGATAAGTTTACACTTAGCAAACATTGTTTTATAACATTACTGTAAGAAACAATTATATTCTACATATAGCTGTAAACAAAATTAAAGCAATAGATAAATTAAAATAAATTGGAGCTGACAGGAATGATTGCCACATCCAGAAATAGCACTGGAGCAATTGGAGCAATTCTCCAATTGAAAACAAATAGAAAGGCTGGGGCAAAAGTATTAGAAATAAAATGTTTGAGACAATTGGAGAGCTTCTAAGGCAGTGAGAATTTGTGGTGCAATATCCCAAAGAAAAGGAAAGCATCAAGAAAACCCTCCAAATAGCTAGAATATATCTAACCAAAGATGTCCAAGATTTCTATTCAGAAAATTATAAACATTATTGAGAGAAATTAGAGAACACCTAAGTAAATGGAGGGACATACTATGTGCATGGATTGGAAAACTCAATACTATAAAAATGTTAATTCTCCCCAAGTTGATCTATAGATTCAATGTAATCCAAACTGAAACTCGAGCAAGATTTATGTGTGTTTGTGTAAACTGGAAAATTGATCCTAAAATTTAAATGGAAGTACAAAAGGTCAAGAATAGCCAAGAAATTTCAAAGAACAAAGTTGGAGGACTCATTTTACTGAATATGAAGACTTACAACAAAACCACATTAATTAAGACTGTGTGGTATTGGCACAGGAAAAGATCAATAGAATGATGTAACAGAACAGAGTCCAGAGCAGACCGAAACATAGACGGACACACTGTGTATGGTTTTACTGAATATGAAGACTTACAACAAAACCACATTAATTAAGACTGTGTGGTATTGGCACAGGAAAAGATCAAGAGAATGATGTAACAGAACAGAGTCCAGAGCAGACCGAAACATAGACGGACACACTGTGTATGGCAAGGGTGGCGGTGCTGAGCAGTAGGAAGAGACAATTATGTCAATGACGCTGACACAACCAGATATCCACATTGGAAAAAATGAATCTTCTCCAGGTTCATCCATGTTGGAGAAGATGTTAAGTCAAATAAGGCAGGCACAGAAAGAGAAATACAGCATGTCATCACTCATAAGTGGGAACTAATAAATAAATAAATAAGAAAGGAAAGTAGGAAGGAAAGAGAAAGAAAGCAAAAGAAAGAAATCACAAAAGTACCTTGAACTTTCAAAAGGAGAGAATGATAGTGTGGTTATTAGAAGGGGGAAGGGGGGTTAAGCAAGAAATTGGTTAAAGCTCACAGAGGATGTTTTGTAAAGATGAAGATACTAACTATCCTGATGTGATCATCACATATTGTACACAGGTACTGATATTCAACTCTGTACCCCACAAATACGTATAATCAATTATGTTACAATAAAAAATGAATCTTGACTTCTCTTCACCCAATAGGCAAAAATTCATTCCAAGTGGCTTGTAGACCTAAATATAAAAGGTAAAACAATAAGGCTTCTAGAAAATAAGCAAAATAAGTAGAATATCTTCATGAACTTGAGTAGGGAACAATTTCTTTAACGAGATACAAGAAACACTAACCACAGAGGAAAACGCTGATAAAGCAGACTACTACTACTATTTAAAGTTAACTTTTATTCATCAAAGACACTCTTAAGAGGTGAAAAGGCAAGCCACAAGCACATACCTTATGATTCCAATGACAAGAAGTTCAAAAATAGGCAAAACTGAGACTCAGTGTTAATGGATAGAACAGCGGTTACCTCTGGGGAAGAGAATGGGGGTGTGGGGGCCTGACTAGAAGAGGCATGGAGGAGGTTAGGGGGCCCTGGTACTCTATTCCTTGTCTTGGGTGGTGTGGTGACAAGGGGTGTTCATTTTGTAATAATTCACTGACCTAGGCACTCATGAATTATGTACTTTTACGTATGAATGTTATACTTCAATAAAAACTTTGCATGTGCTATTAAATCCCTGAACTTTTCAAAGGATAGTTTAGGGAATAATTTTTCATTCATAAGTCTGGGTATACTGTTGAAATATTTCTTTCAGGAATATGAGGGAAATTTCCTTACTAGTAACCTAACTTTCAAGCATCTAATGGTCATGACTTGGGGTATTTTGTTTGGGGTACAGATAGGGCATATTTACTGGCTAATGCTGCTCTCCCTGTATCAACTTCCTGTTATGCATTTTCCCTAGCTTATTGCAGGCTAACCCAACATTGAGACGATGTTCTGCTAATAAAACAAAACTTGTCATTTGGAAGAATGCATCTCTACTTATAACCCATGATTGTTCATATCCAAACCTGTACATTGCATTCGTCTGTCTCTATTTCAAAATTCTAGTACCTGATTGTCAGGGGTATTAGAAAGACATACAATACAGCAGGAATACTCCCTAATCTTGCTACCTCTGGTGGCCTGGGAATCTTGCCTATAATTTAAACCTACTCTCCCTCAAACTTGAGACGTTGAAGCACTCCGAGGTGCTCAAACAGTCAATAACAAAAATGCTGCTTTTATGGCTTTTCAAATCACAAGCTAGAATCTCAATATAAAAATGAGGTTTAGTTCACTGAATTGAAACCCTATTTCTTGATCAGCCTGGGTGCTGAATCAGGGTGAAGTCTCATCAGTCCAGTATGTTCTACATACTGAGGTACAGAGACCAGAACCAAGCAGAGCCAAAGACAGAACAGCTGAGTTGAAGAAGTCACCAAGTTGATCAGAGCAAGAAAACTGGTGAAATGGCCCCTGCCACTTCCAACAAGCCTGCCACTACCACAAAGCTCTTCAGTGAAGAAAACTCTCAGCCTTACTCTGCTGTATGAGTACTGTTTTTATATGGTATCTGTTTTTCAAATTTATGTGATCTGAGGTCTGGCTGGTTAGCTCAGTTGGTTATAGCGTGGTGTTGATAACACCAAGGTCCAGGGTTTGATCCCTGCACCGGCCAGCCGCAAAAAATAAACAAAAAAATAAATTAATAAGTTTAAAATAAATTTAAAATAAAATAAATAAATAAATTTACGTAATCTAATTTATCCTCTCAGCAATGTTGGAGAGTGCTGGTCTAATGGTCTCCTGTCAAAACTCCCTTAACAGGACTCCTTGGGACGATGACAGCAGAACCAGCCACAGCATTCTCTTTGGAGCTCAGGCCAGCCTGTTGCTTATGTTCCTCAGGGACCTCTCTAAGTTCTCTGAGCAGAAACCCAGGAGATTCTTAGTACCTGAGCTCACTGATCACATTTTGCTAGTGACATGTACCATAATTTTGGAGCACTGGTGTTGGCAAGATTCCTAAGCATAGTGACAAGTGGGCACAAAAGCACACAGGACAGTCTAATAAAGTCAGCTGTGAGTTTTACTTACCTAGATCCACAAAAAGATGCTTTTCTCCCATGTTATTCTTCACAACTAAAAATGAAAGACTAGGACTTCTTTGCTCAGCTGACCCCAGCCTCTCCAGTTTCCTTGAATCCGATGCCCAGCTTTCTCCTGTATCCTTATCTGTGGACATTTTGTTAAAGGAAGTTCCTTCTTTTACAGGTGCTTCAGAAAAATGGGAAAATCCACGGCCTGTTTTCTCTGGAATCCTATCATCATCTTCTTTGGCAATTAGGTGAAGGGCAGGCTGCAAAATTTTTCTTACAAAATTACCTAGGGAAAGAGGTATTATGATTAACCTAATTCTCCTCTGCAAATTATAACTTGAGATCTAGGCACAAACCCACAGGAGACAATTTTAAACAATAAGTCTACTTTTTTTGCTTTCTGGTTTTAAAACTGAGTTGTTACAACCTATAACTTGCCTCTCCGGCTACTTCCTTCCTCTTGTTCAGTATTTTACTTTTGCAATTGCCATTGATGTGGGAGCTTGGTGTCAGCTGTAAACAAATCATTTCAGAAGGGCAGGTTAATGTGAGAAGTTGTGTCCATGTTGCTAGAACAGGCCTGAGGCATAACAAGCTGTCACTAAAAAAGCCCTACTTTTTATTAATACGAATTGAGTAGAATTATCTTCACCATCAGTGAATAAAGAAAGGTTTATATGAGGAAACTATGGTGCCAAGATCATGGATAGAAACACTGACAGAATCTCTGCCATACTCTCCTGGAGTCAGGATGTTGGCAAATTTCTCAGGAGCTTATTCTCTCTCCCTTACCTGCCATGACATGCCCTAAGCACCCTGAATTTCACAGCCCTCAGCTGCAAGGTTGTTGCTACTCTAAGCTCTCCCTGGAACTGGTCACAGGATGGACTGTGACCTCAGGGCTAAAGTGCAGAACTAAAGCAACTAAATGCATCTTGTATTTCAACATTTATCCTAATAAGAGGTCTGAATAACAGTGGCCCTATCTGTACCCTAAAAAGTTGGTAAGACAATCTGAAATTTCTTTAAACTCACATATATTATTTATCCATGAAACCAAGTACTAATTTGGCTGTTAAGCTGCTTCATGTATAACAATACTGGAGAAATGCAATATTGTAAGAAAAACTTAATTTTTTTTTTTTTGTCCTTTTGAGACCGGCTGCACCGCGCTCAGCCAGTGAGCGCTGAGAGCGCACCGGTCATCCCTATATAGGATCCGAACCTGCGGCGGGAGCGCTGCTGCACTCCCAGTGCCGCACTCTCCCCAGTGCGCCACAGGCTTGGCCCAGAAAAACTTAATTTTATTTTAATCTCCAGAACTGTATAATCTGGTTTTATTTGTCACCTTATTTACCAGAAAAGCTTAGACCCTTCAATCATAACACACACATGCTCTAAATTCAAAATTCTCTTTCTCTAAATTAGACTTAATTACTTCCCTACTCAAAGAAACATTGAATTTCTTATAAAACACTAAACATCAAAATGAAAGCAAAAGCATTTGATCCTTGTGATGATAAACAGATATGATTATTCCTGGAATGAGGGAGAGAAGGCAAACACTAAGTGAAAAGAAATCATGGCATATCACAGGACAATAAAGCAATACAAACATATATCAATAAGGCTAATTTTCCTGGAAACTTGGAATGCATCTACTTGACAGCAGGCAATAAGAGAAGTGAGTCCATGCTTGCCGATGTTGCATGGTTGCTATGGCAGGAGGTCAGGTGGGCCTTTGAACTGTCGCAAGCAGCTAACATGCCCAGGAAATGAGGACAGTGATCAGCATAAACACTAACACTCTGCCTTCTACTTCCCTTCTCTAATCTTATCACCCTCATCCTCATTAAGACAAGGACTACTTCATTGGCTGAGAATAACTCAAAAGAACTAATCGGTAATAGAAATTTCAGATACAGTCACGTGTGCTTAAGGACAAATATATGTTCTGAGAAATGCATCATCAGGCGATTGCGTTGTCGTGTGACCGACACAGGGTGTACTTACACAAACCTAGATGGTATGGCTTACTATACACCTGGGCTGTATGGTATAGCCTATGGCTCCTAGATGAGTAATGTGCCGCTACAACGTTAGGTCACCAGGCAATAGGAACATTTCAGCTCCATTATAATCTTATGGGGCCATCATCATACATGCTGTCGGTCCGTTTTTGACCAAAATGTCATTATGCAACACAGAACTGTACTATGGCAGACTGGCAGAAGAGTATTTTTAGGAAGATTAAATTCTATGATCTCTTACATTTAACTTAATTCCCCTTTCTGAAAGGCTGACAGTAGGAACTGGAAATATCACACTGAGGGAGGGAAACTGAAGGGAAAATTTTGGACTCCTTCATATTCTCAGCATCTCTAATTCTAGAGGAACGTGCCTCAGGTGACACCCCATTTACCAGGTCTGATTATGTCTCTCACCGTAGCCTCACGAGGCTACCCATCGCTCCCCAAATTAGCCACAAACTCCTTTCTCTCTACTTTTGTTTATGCTGTTCTCTCTGACAGTAAAGCTTTGTTACCTTTGTCTATATGGTGGAAATTTGTTCAAAGCCCAGATTAAATGTCATGTGCTCTCAGAAGATATCTGTAGCAGAGAAATTTGTACCCGACAAATTTCTATTCTCCCCTTTTCCCTAGCAACAAAATCTCAATTTTTAGCCTTGTAGCTAGTAGTCATAGAGCAGACTATGGGGAGCACACAGGCATCAAAGAAAGCTTGCGTAGGACTCCGCCCCGACACCCTG